TCCCCGAACCCCTCCCCCCCCAGTGTCCCCCCCCCCCCAAATCTCCAGGTAGTTCCCCACCTGGAGCTGGCAACCCTAACCCTACCACACTGAAGCAGTTGATCCAGGGCTCAGTGCCAGTGGGCAGGAAGAAGCTACCCAGGGGATGGTGTGTGCGCCCGACCTAGCGCTCAAATGACAGGGTTACCAAGGGTGCCTGGCCCCCTTCCACTTGGGACGGGGCCCCCTCAGATTTAGAAGGCTCCAGAAGGGAGGCGCAGGCTGGCTCCCTACCTCAGCTAGGGTTGCCAACTTCAGGCTGGGAAATGGCTGGAAATTTGGGGGCAGAACCTGAGGAGAGCCAGGCTTAAGGGAGGGGAGCAACCTGAACAGGGACGTGATGTCATAAAGTCAACCCTACAGGGCTTCTGTTCAGGGCCTTTTTTTGTAGAAAAAGCCCAGCAGGAACTCATTCGCATAATAGACCACACCCAACAGCAGAAACCCATTAGCATATTAGGCCACACCCCTGACAACACAGCTCATTAGCCCATTAGGCCGCACCCCCATGTTACCAGAAGTGTGGTCATCCAGCCACACCCACCTTTTGCTTCTTATTCTCTTTACCTTGTTTGTTGTCAAAACCCAGGGCTTTTTTTGTAGCAGGGACTCCTTTGCATGTTAGGCCACACACCCCTAATGTAGCCAATCCTAATGAGTTTCTGCTGCTGGGTGTGGCCTATTATGTTAATGAGTTCCTGCTGGGCGTGGCCAACTTGGGAGCCAGCCGGAACTCAGTTCCTGTGCGTTGCTGTCCCAAAATAGCCCCGCTTCTGTTTTCTCCAGGGGAGCTGATCTTTGTCTTTGGTGTGTATCCCATGAGTGTTCAGAGCCGAAGGGGGGGAGTGTTTTCAAGCAGGGCTCTTTTTGTGGCAGGAATTTCTTTGCATATTAGGCGACGCCCCCCCTAATATAGCCAATTCTCAAAGAGCTTACAGCACTCTTCTTACAGGGGCTACTGTCAGCTCTTGGAGGATTGGCTACATTAGGGGTGTGTCGCTTAATATACAAAGGAGTTCCTGCTACAAAAAGAGCCCCAGCCGCCCGATCCAGTATGCATTAGTTTTGCTGACATTTGTGTGAAGTGCCCCAAGCAAGCATGCCGGCTCTGGCAAGTGGGCCTTCTCACATGTAGCGCGCTTGTGGGTCTGTAGCAGTGTCTTTCGCCCTGACCGCCTCTCTTTTTCTTGCAGTCTGGGAGGTTGTTGCTTGGAGCACCTGGTGGATATTACTTTGGAGGTGAGTTCCTACAGCGGGCTGTGAACTGGCGGGGGGGGGGGAGGAAAAGGAAAGGGAGGATTAGACTTAAAGAGTAGTCCTCTCATATCAATGAAAATTTCTCCCTCTGGACACAATCCGCGAACGGCCAGTTCTCACGAAAGCGAATGCACACACAGTCTGACTCCTGAGCCGCTGTCCTGCCAGGTGAGGTGGATGGATTCTGTGCCCCGTTCTTGAGCTGATCCGCATTCGCACCTCCTCTCTTTTCTAGGTCTGGTCTACTCAGTCAACCTCTCGGCGGTGGTCGCAAGCGTCCTCGAGTCTCCTTTGTTGCTGCGGACAGTTAGCCCACAGCAAGTGACGCCCGACTACACTGAAGGAAGTTATGATGATGCATACCGGGGTTAGTTTGCAGTCTCTTTGGAAAGGGAAGAGGTGGTGCTAGCAAGGCGTTCCTAAGGACAGTGTGGTGTAGCGGTTAAGAGTGGCAGGACTTTAATCTGGGAGAACTGGGCTTGATTCCCCATTCCTTCCCATGAAGCCAGCTGAATGACCTTGGGTCAGTCACAGTTCTCTCAGAGCTCTCTCAGCCCCACCTGCCTCACAGGGGAGGGGAAGGGGAGGTGACTGTAAGCCGCTCTGAGGCTAAGTGTGCGCCTGTTCATTTTTTAAGGGACAGGGGGAAAAATGAACCATGGAACTTTTACCTAATCAGAACTGAGCCAGAGTTGCTTAGGGAAAGTCTATGCTAACAAAGGGAACTGCACTACATTTTGTGAAATGATAGAACTCGACAGTCAATGTATAATAGAATTATTCAAGCCAGTGTGTATTAAAAAAGAGAGCCAGTTTGGTGTAGTGGTTAATTGCGCGGACTCTAATCTGGGAGAACCGGGTTTGCTTCCCCACTCCTCCACTTGCACCTGCTGGATAACCTTGGGCAAGCCATAACTCTGGCACAGCTGTTCTTGAAAAAGACCAGTTTCTGTCAATAGCTCTCAGCCCCGCCTACCTCACAGGGTGTCTGTTGTGGGGAGGGGAAGGGAAAGGAGTTTGTAAGCTGCTCTGAGACACCTTTGGGTAGTGAAGGGCGGGGTAGAAATCCAATCTCTTCTTCCTCTTCTTCTTCCTTTGGGTAATGAAAGGCGGGGTATAAATCCAATCTCTTCTTCTTTGGGGAATAGTCTCAGCAAGGAGAAGCCCCTGTCTCTCCCCCCCCCCCATGCAACTACATCCCTCTTGGATCTGGGGGGCAGAACATGGTGCTCCCTGCAAAACTCCCCCTTCCCAAAGGACAGAGCCAGAAAGGAGAGAAAATAAATATGGGGGGGGGGGGAACATGCACTTTCAGTTCCAAACAGCAAAAGTGCTGTGCAGAAATTCGGTATCAACTGGTTATGTTATCTGAGGGGTAGTCATGTTAGCCTACTGCAGTGGGGACCAGCATGGTGCCTGTTACCCCCTCCCTCCCTCCCTCCCTCCATGACAGGGCCCTCCCAGCATCTGTCAACAAAAATAAAGGGATGTCTTGTGGCACCATAAAAAGGACTAACATTTTATCCTAGCATGAGCTTTCATGGAGCAGATCTGGCTTTGACAGACACGTGCAGTTGGTCCTCTCTAGGCAGGGAGAAAGGCATGCTACTATGTAGGGGGCAAGCTGCACATGGGTCAGTGGGCCACAAAACGCAGGAGAACCAGGGTGAGACATCTCTTCTCTCCTATTATATAAAGGCATTTTGGGGTGGCCACCGGCCTATGGGGTGGCGAGAGGAAATGCGCTCCCACAGCCATTGGCCCGCCAGCTGCCACTCAAGACTACTGGCGTGCCATTGGCTGGGTGTTGGAGGGAATGAGGCTAGCTGCCATGGCCCGCGCGTGCCTGGAACAGGCGGGGAGCGGTCAGTTGGGAGACTGACGAGGCCAGCCGCCTTGGAAAGATGGTCCTTCGATCCAGCACCTCTCACTAGCCATTGCCTCAACCAGTCCCAAGTCAGTACCACCCACAGTTGGCTCTTTCCCCAGCACAATCCACCCGTCCTGTATTATTCGATTGAGACGTTAGCGTGCAGCAGGGGGAGCTGCGAGCCTGGCTGCTGGGGAGCCGCCGTGCTCTCCTTTGCCAGTGCGTGGGGGCCCCCCTCCGGCGGCCTCTTTCTAGGGCCCGTTGCCTCTCTTCCCGCAACGAGCCTTGCGCCTAGTAATTTCATAAAACTGACATGTAATCAAGCGAAGTACAGACACTCACACACACCCTTTCCTCCCACGCAGGCTATTCAGTGGCTTTCGGGGAGTTTGATGACGATCCACAGACACCAGGTAAGGGAATGGATTTCTTTGCCAGGGCAAAACGGGGGCAGAGGACAGCCAAGGGGGCTGGAGGGTATTCTTGGAAGACTCTCCCTCCTCCTACTCTTCAGCGGAGGTTCCTTTTGCTAGTCCTGAGGTGCTGGCACCCCTTGCCAGTCCTGTGCCCACCCCGTCTACAAAATATGAATTCTGGCATGAGCATATCTTGCAGGGTTGCTCTCAGACCCAGTGGCGCTCTCTCCAGAATCGATACGGTCCACGATGCCAGGACTGCCCCCTTGTCCCTTCAGCCACAGTGAGCCTTAGATGCCCACCAAAAGCTGAGTCTCCAGCAGGGAACAGCAGGGTCCAAAGAGCTGAGGATCTGGTCTCCCGAAGGATTCCTCTGTCTCTTAGACGGTTCTTCTCTTTGCAGAATACGTTGTGGGTGTTCCAAACAAAAGGCTAACCCAAGGAGCGGTGAGTACCGTGTTCGTCCCGGTGGCTTCTTGAAAGAGGGGTCGCAGGGCTCCTGTCTGTTTGGTCTGCTCTGCATCCAGAGAGAGAGAGAAGAAGAGAAGAGATTGGATTTATACCCCGCCCTTCACTACCCAAAGGAGTCTCAGAGCAGCTCACAATCTCCTTTCCCTCCCCCTCCCCACAACAGACACCCTGTGAGGTACGCAGGGCTGAGAGAGCTCTGACAGAAACTGCTCTTTTTCAAGAACAGCTCTTGTCAGAACTACAGCTTGCCCAAGGTCATCCAGCCAGGTGCAAGAGGAGGAGTGGGGAATCAAACCCGGTTCTCCCAGATTAGAGTCCGCGCACTTAACCACTACGCCAAACTGGCTCTCAGAGTTGGGGAGGGGCACAGCTCTCAATCTTTTAAAAAAGAGATGCGGGGACTGAAGCTCTCCAAATCATCCCAAATGAATCTCAAACTGGCGAGCCCTGGAGACTTGAAACTGCTGTATACTGCAACAGGTCCTTAGTCCAGGGACGTATTGTCTACTCAGCCTGGCAGCAGCTCTCTGAGGTCTCGGGTTGGGTTTTTTTTTTCCTGATCAGCTCCTACCTGATCTTTTTAACTGGAGATGCTGGGGCTTGAACATGGGACCTTCTGCATGCAAAGACAGAGTGCCAGGCAATGTTCCCTCTAAGCTGTAGAGTCCTGCGAGCAAAAATCCTACTTTGTGAGCTACTGGCATTAAAGTTGTGAGCCAGTGATTTGGCTACTGCATAAATCAGTTTGCTCTGGAGCCCTCCTTCCTGAGCTGAGACAAAAATGTGGGAGCCAGAGGCTAAAAAACTGTGAGCTGGCTCACACTGACTCAGCTTAGAGGGAACACTGCCAGGCGGTGGGGCAGAGGTGCTTGTAGGACAGGCCTTGCTACTGAGACATGTCTGCTGATGCCCCATTATATGGGAGGGGCACCCTCCATGCTGTTCTTGCCCCGCCCTGTGGGTGGTGCTGTTGTCCACCTCCCTGGGGAACTTTTAGTTTAGGGGGAGGATTACTGCCTCTTGTTCTCCCAATAAAGACACATGGAACTTGGCAAGAACTCTTTGCTTGGCCATTGGGACATTAAGACAAAACATGCAAATCCATCTATTGTAAAGGTAGGGTTGCCAAGTCTGACTTACCTTGCTGGTGGGGGACTCTGGGGTGGCTCCCGGCGCGCGCTTGCGCACCGCATGCACGTCACAGGGAAGTGACGTCATGACGCAGGGCACGCTGGGGTGGGGCCACAACCATACAAGGGAAAACCATAGAGTTTTCCCTTGTATGGCCGTGGCCCCACCCCCAGCGTGCCCGGTGTCATGACATCACTTCCCTGTGACGTGCACGTTGGGGCGGGGTTCCCCCCGGGGCCCAATTCCCCGGCGTCTGGGAACGGGCCTCTGGGGCGGGGGGAATTCCGCCCCCCGGGGGGACTTGGCAGCCCTATGTTAAGGTGTACTTCTGTCTCTATGACTGGTCTAAGGACTGTCGAAATAAACTGAAATTGAAAATCCATCTTCCGTCTTTGGTACAGCCCCGCATTGAGACTGTGTTTGTGCAGACTAGCCGTGGAATATTTTTTTACAGCTTAAAAGCTACAAAGGGGGATGTACCCCGCCCCTTCTGGAGCCGCAAACTCTCACGTGCTCTGGAGGCAGGTGCCCCCTTTCCTCGGTTCCTTTTTTTTGCCACCATGTAAATAGAAGCATTCCAGGAAGCTCTTTCTTACCTTAGTTTTCGTCAGTGCTTTATTCTGTGTCAACCTCGCTTTCCTTTTTATTGCTCTGTTGCCATAGCAGTTGGGAGGGGGATCAAGACAGTGTGAATTTCAAACGCTTTCCGTTTTAGATGCTTTGATGTTGAGTAGCACTAAAAATGAAAAAGAAGCACTAAAGGACAACCACCAAAGAAATATGGAATCTGTGAAACTGTACAATCTGCAAAAGAACCCAAGAACTGGAAAGAAGTATGCAACCTGCCTGATAATGAAACAGACATATGGATTGAAGCAATGGAACAGGAAATACTATCCATATATGAGAAAGAAGCACGGACTCTCACAAAGTTACCTCCAGGCAGAAAGCCTGTTGGATATAAAATCAAGTATAAAAAATGGGACTGTAGAGTTATACAAAGCATGCCTAGTAGCCAAAGGTTATTCAGAAGAATACGGGACTGACTACTTTGAGACTTTTGCTCCAGTTATCAATCATGCAACATTCAGAACACTCCTTAGTGTCGCAGCATCAAGAGACATGATTGTAGAGCATCTCGATATAAAGACAGCATTCCTCAATGGAGAACTATCTGAAGAAATATTTATGGAACAACCTGAGGGTTTCAAAGTTAAAGGACAAGAAAATTACATTTACAGATTCAACAAAGGACTCTATGGACTAAAACAAGAAACAAAGGCTTGATATGACAAAATTACTGGACTATTGCAGAAGCAAGGCTTTGTGCAAGGGAAAGCTGAACCTTGCCCGTACACTAGAATTAAAAATGGACAATACCAGTACATTCTTGTTTACGTTGACAACTTGATCGTGTCTTGTCAAAACAGAGAGGATGTTAAAGAAATAGCTGATGGACTGAACAAGGAAGTAGAAGTCAAACAGCTTGGAGATGTAAAACACTACCTCGGAACTTTCGCGAGTCACGGCTCACTTCTTCTAATAGATCGAGATGGGGAGCCCTGTTAGTCTGTCTGTAGCAGGAGAAAAGAGCAAGAGTCCAGGAGCACCGTGAAGACTAACAAAATTCGTGGCAGGGGAGGAGCTTTCGTGAGTCACGGCTCACGTCTTCACATACCTACCTAAGGGACCGCCTCGCCCCACATGTTCCCCCAAGGGCACTACGGTCGGGGAATCAACATCTATTGGATGTTCCAGGCCCCCGGTCTATCAGACTTACCATGACCAGACTTACCATGACCAGGAATAGGGTGTTCTCGGCGGCTCCTATCTGGTGGAATGAGCTCCCAGAGGAGATCAGGGCTCTGCGGGACCTAGCACAGTTCCGCAGAGCCTGCAAGACAGAGCTCTTCCGCCAGGCTTTCGAATAGGAGCCGCCGCCACCAGTGTACCACCAACGCACCAGTGTACCATCAACGCCCCATATATGGACATCAGGTTGTGGGCATGTACCATCAACGCCCCATAATCGCTGCATCGTGGGTGAGAACAGGATGTTTAGGGGACGGCCATCTTGCTTTTAGAAATTGTAATTTTGGGAATTGGTTGAGAGGAGCACCAAAAGTGTTTTAATGGTGATGTATTTTTTAATATGTTGTACTGTGTTATTGTTTTATTCGGCGATACGCCTTGTTAGCTGCCCTGAGCCTCCGGGGAGGGCGGGATAAAAATGTAAATAA